CCACACGGGCACCCCACCGACGCTGGAGCAGCACCTGGGGATGCAGGGAATCTAGTGGATCCCCTCCTGCGGGCTGGGCTCCCACCCGGCACCAGGCTCGCTCCCCATCGCTCGTGCCCCATGGAAGCCACAATATCTGCTCTTCCTTCACAGCCACAGACCTTCAGAGGTTTATTTATTTTTAAATACATCTGATTGATGGCCTCCTGGGCTCAGGTTTTAATCTTAAGACAAAAAGTAACTTTCTAACTGGAACGCAGCCCCCCCCCTCAGTCCTGCTGCTCCGCACCCTTCCATCCCCAGCACAGCGATGCTCTCACATCACTGTGGGCTGGCAAAGCCCAGAGCCAGGATTCATCCCTAAAACATCCTGCCACATGTCCTCGTCCTCTCAGAAAGGGTTGGCTGGAGTGCGTCACATGGCAAGAAAAAAAAGGTAGCTTGTGCGAAAACCAAAACGCCATAGATCATTACTAGGGCTTTGGGGACCAAAGTCAACAGCTGTCCAGGAAGGAGAGGAAACCGAGGGAGGAGAAAATACTTTGGGCTCAAGTGAAGCTTGCTCTCTGCCTGACCCGTAAAATCCCCGTATATGCAGGGATAGCTCTGCTTGCTGGGAATTAAATGGCCAAACTCCCCTGGATGCTCACGCAGCGGAAAGTGGGACTTGACACCCTTCTGGTGCTCCACCCTGAAGGACTTACTGTTCTCACATCTGCAGGGACACCAGCCTCCGGCTGCCCCGCACACCGTGGCCAGGCTGTTAGACAGAGCAGCTCAGTCTGCGCCTACGAGGGCTGCGTGTGTGTAGGAGCCAGCTTGTTCTCCGCAGTCAGAGCCCGATGACTTCATCAAGGGGATGGCATCTGGTTTTGCAGTTGGCCATAATTCAATTCTCCCCCTTGCTGCAGGAATTTCAGCTGGTGAAGCAGTGATTTACTCAGCCGGGCTGCACTTGAGTGCAAAGCAATCTTGAGGCTACAATCGAACGCCCTGTTATTTTGAGAGCTCGCGGACGAGGGAATAAATATCCTCTTCTTTTCATCCCAGTAGTTGCCAAGTGCAGGGTACAAAGCTTTTTAAAGGCATTTAGGGGCTCTCCTCTTACAAGTGCGCTCCGGGTGCCGTGCACGGCCAGGCAGGACCCTGCCTGCACAGCTCGCTCCTGCTCTGCAGCATCAGGACAGAATTTGCCAGAACAGCCAGAAAAAGGCCAGGGCACCCCCCTTCCCGTGCCCCTCCACAGCTGCATCTCCGAGCATCCCCCACCCTCCCTGAAAACCCTTCCCTGTCGCCCCAGCACACATCACTCCTGGCTTGCAGCAGCCCTGAGTTCACCCCAGCCCCCCTCCAAACCACCTGGGACCCCGATGGTCTTTTGGTCCTGGCATCCCACGTTCCCCCTTATTCCAAGTTTGATGTCCGCTCCAACGCAAATCAAACCCAATCAAACACATCCAGATGGACCAGACCCCCCCTTGTCTTTGACCTTCTTTGCTGTCCCACCTAATGCTCACCCCTTGGGAGCTGTATGGCTCGGCTGGGGGGGTCCCTGAAGGACAGATGGGCTGAGGTGGGGCTCACTTGGGTCATGCCTGACCCTGCCAGAGCCTGTGCTTGCTTCATGGGATGTGCTCATCAGGGAGTCAGAAGAGCGACCGCAAAACTCATTGTCTCTGGGGCCCGATCCAGCGCTGCTGCCCGGCTCTCCAGGGACAGCAGGCTGGTGCAGAGATGGAGCTGAGCCCCCAGGTTAGGAAGTTTTTATGGCTGCCCAGCCCTGCGAGCACTTTCATGTGCACATCCGACTCAGCACAGCTGTTCGGGCCACAAAGAAGGAAACCTCAGCCTCTGCCATGATAAACCCACAGTCACTCTTAATATCCCCCCGTTCCCACTAACCAAGGGTTGGGAATGTCAGGATTTTCTGTGGAAAAAAGCAACATATCCACCCCATCTGCATTAAAAACAAGGCACCTCCTTTCAGCCCCACAATGAGCCTTGCTGGCAGTCACAGAGAAGTCCCCATTCCAAGTAGGAGACCAGCTCTGTGTGAGCAACAAAAGAGGGAGGCCAAAATATTTCCAGGTTTACGTTTGAATCCCTCCCTTCTTCTCTGCCCTGACAACATCCCGTACAGGCGCGCTCCTCCCCTCCTGCCACCTTCCCCGGCCCCCGGCCCAGCTCCCTGTTTGCAGTGTTGGGGAGGTTTTAACAGCGTCCCTACCCCTCTTCTCAATTTCGGCTTAATGCTGCGATCACGTCCCTCCCTGCCGCTGAGACAAAAGCCATTTATCAACTGAACCGATACACCTCCAGTAGGGATGGATCCTTATCTAGAATCAACTGCATTACCCAGATGGACTGAAGGCAGAAAATCCCAATTTTTTTCTGGAGGCAGGAGCGTATTGCAGCCGAAAAACCAAAGCTGAAGACGAACAGGGAAAGCCAAAGCAAAGTGGAGTGGAAAAAGCAAGGCTTACCCTCTGGGGCAAAACACCCAGGGCCAGGTTTTGAAAGTACAAAAGGATCTGCAAGAAAACTCAGCATGGTCCATACTGGGAGGCACAGGTGGGGGTCAGCCGAGCACCCCGGGGAAATGAGGGTCCCAGCTGGGGGGGGCGGACAGCGCCCATGAGCACCCGACGCTGGGACTTGGCACAAGCCCTGAGCAGGACTTCTGCCAGGGAAACTGCCAGCAGCGGCCTGCTCTGCCCAAACCTCCTTCCCCAGCCGCCCCACGCTCGGCGGTCACCCTGACCCACGTGAGGGGGGGGACCCACGCAGAGGGGAACCAACGCCGGCACCCCCAGTCTGAGGGTGCTCGACGGCCGGGACCGCCCAGGAGGCAACGGGGTGAAGCCATCGGTGTGAGAGCAGCAGAAGTGGGAATCCAGCCCGGGGTGTGCACATAGCGGGGTGGGGGGTTAAGCAAATAAATAAAGAGGGCAGGACTCGGCGAGGCACTGGTCTGACACGCTGAGCACCCACTTGGGCAGCCTCCAGTGGCCCCGCTCACCCAGGGTTCCCAAGACGGGCTGGGAACCTGCTGGGAATCTACAAATTCCCAGGAAGCACAGGGGAAAAAGGGGCAAAGGATATGCCAGGGAATAAATCCCCCCCTTTTTCCTACCTTCCCATCCCAAAAAGCTTTTAAGGAGAGCCCCCGGCGTGCTCCCAGCCCTGTGCATGGGGAGCACTGTCTCTGCCTGTGCCCTGCTCCTGCGGGCCCCGGATTGCCTCGTTCTGCCAGTTCCTTGCACCTTATTTGCCTGCTGAAGGGAGAAGCAAACAAAGCAGCCAGCCAGATCTCCTATCAAGTTCTTTCTTGCACCGTAAATCTCACAGCCTCAACGCTTTGCAACTCAACCGCTCCGAAAAGGGCGTTAAGCAACGCATATGGGAGCAGCTCCAGAGTTTCCAGAAAGGAAAAAAAAAAAAAAAAAGGGGGGGATTCGGCTTCCAGCTTTCTGGGAAGTCCCCTGGGAGAAGTGGGGTCCAGAGGGACACCTCAGTGCTAAGGGCAGCGTTTGCTTTCCTGCAACAGGGCTGAGAGGGCAAAGGGGGGAGGAAGGGCGTAAAGCATTTATTTATTTATTTACTACGTGTGTGTGCAAGACTGCTTCACCTACGGTTATGCAAAAGAAAGGCAGAGGCGATTTTAAAATTAATAAATTAAAAAAAAAAAATTAGGGAAAGTTTTACTAAGCTAAAAAGATACACGGCAAGTTTTAAGCGTTTAGAGCTTTTCTTTCTCCCTCCTGCTTTCTCTCCTTTCCCCCCCTTGCAAATGAAAAAAAAAAAAAAAAAGGAGGTAAAGAAACTGGAGAGTTTTGGAAGGAACAAATCCGCCTCTGTGGACTGGGTTTCCCCTCCCCCAACAAAAACAAGCACTCAGGGCTTGAAGGAATTTGCAGGCAGAGATCTGCCAAAAACATTGTGAAAAACTATGGGGGATTCATTGGAAACAGATGGCGTTTTCAGCTGTAATTCTGAAATTCTCTCCTTTTCTGACACAATACAAACAAACCGGGGATGAGGAGGGGGGAGGCAGAGACCAGCACTAGGTGCGAGCGGCCGGGGGGGCGCGGGGAAGGGCGGGGGCTCGGCCGGGGGAGCCGATGCTCGCCGCTCGGTTGCCATCCCGCCCTCGGACAGCGCTCAACACCTCCCGGCCCGGCCGGAATTAATTTTCTAAGGGAATAATGGTGCTAAGCCCCCCTCCTCCCCCCCGCCCCCCCCAAAAAAAAAAAAAAAAAAAAACAACAAAACAACCCCAGGCCGAGGCTGGGAAGGGAGGGGGGGCAGCGCGGAGAAGGGGGAGCCCGCTCCGCTCCGCGCATCCTCCGCCGCGCTGCCTGGCCCAGGTGAGCCCCGGGGCCGCGCTCCCCGCGCCGTGGGGCCGTGCAATCCCCCCACGGACACGCGACCTTCCCGATATCACAAAGCAACGACCCCCCCCCCCACACACACACACCCACCACCACCACCTTCTTCACCCCCTCCGCAGCCGCTCTCCCCTCCCCGGGGTGGGGTGGGGGCCGCGGAGCGGGGACCCCCCCACTGCATTCAAGGGCAGAAATTTGGCATCGGGGGTGTTCTTGTGCGGGTGTCCCCCCCCCTTACTCTCAAGGCACAGAGCACACCCGGGAACGGGAGAACAACGTAACCTGCCTGCCGCTGTCAGAAACGACCCCCGGCTGCCTTCGCCGGGAATTGCTTTGATTTCGACCATCTCCTTCCTTGTGGGATGAGGCAGCAGGGAGACAAAGAAGATGAGGTCAAGGAAAAACACTCACCGCAATTGCTTGGGGAAAAGGGAATGGAGGGGGAGCACACACCAAAACTGAGCCCCACTTGCTTATTTTAAACATGTGGCAAACTGCTGCAAAGAGAGGGAGAGAGAAAGAGGCCCAGAGACAGGGGGAACAGAGGCGGCTATCCAAGGGCTTTGAGAAATACAGGAAAATATTCTTCAAAATAAAGAGGCTGTTCCTTACCTGAAGGGAAGATGCAGAGAAAGACAGGGAGGATTTGGAAAAGTCCCAGGGCTGTGGATCCTGCCCCTCTCCCCATACCCATCCATCCAGCTCGAGCTTTAACCACTATCCTCTCCCTGGAAGAAGAGTTTAAAAAGGGGGAGGAAAAAAAAAAAAAAAAAAAAAAAAAAAAAGGAGAAGGGAAGAGAGGAAGGAGGAAAAAAAAAAAAAAAAGAGAGAGGAAAAAATAAATCAATCGAAAGAAAGAACTGGAAAAAAAAATAAAATCAAAAGCCCCACATGGCTCCGCGGAGCGATGCAGGGACGGGCGGCCCCAGCTTCGGGCTCGGTGGCCTCCGCACTGAAAGATTACACAGACTTTTTCTCCTCCTTCTCCTTCTCTCTTTCCCCTCCCATTACAAAACAGCCCGAACCATCAATCATCCCGGCTGCCTTCCAATGTCTGTATCCTCTCCCTGCACCGCCTCCGCCCGCCTCCCCGGCCACGCTCCTCCGGCGGCGTGGAAGGGGCGGAGGGACGGGCGCTGCGCACCGCAGCCGCGGGAGGGAGAGGAAGAAAAACCCTGGGAAGACCCGGGCGAGGGGGGTTAGTGCTGTGGGTCGAGCCACCGAACCCTCTGGGGAAGGGGATGGGGGGGGGGGGGGGTGTTGTTTGAGGTGGCCGTGGTCCCACGCGGGATGGGGAGGGCTCGGGAGGTTTTGCCCCGTCTCCTCACCGACGTGCATCGCAGCCCGGTTGCGATTTGAGCGAGCGGCTTTCTCCCACTCCACTGGGGTCTCGACACCCGGCGCAGCCTCCCTGCCGCCTTCCCGTGGGCCTAACGAGAGCACTTTGGGATTTCCCCCAAATCGGGGGCAAAGAGGCCGTTGTACGGCAGAGGGGGAGAAACTGAGGCAGGGAGATGCTGGGCAGCTTGTGCGGGGCAGGGATCATGGGAGCGATGCTGCGGGCCCCCGGCCCACAGGGGCATGGCCCCCCCCACCCCCGGCACAGGGAGATCCTCCACGCTGTCCCAGCCCTGGCTGCGGAGGAGGTGGGAGCATTTCACAACCTTTCCAGGTCTTTCACCCGCACCGGCACTGGCAGCGGTGAAGTAAGTTCAGACAACTCAGAAAGAGCAAGTCTCATAGATCCTCATCGTTAGACGACACTCCTCAGAAAGGGGGGATGACTGTTGGGGGGGTCCCTGCATCCCGCTGCCGGCCCGCCGAGGACTGATGGAGAGGACCCACGTGTACCTAGGCTCCCTCAGGACCTCCACCACCGACCAGTCTGCACCACCAGACCTGGATGATCAGCTTTTGCTGGGGGAAAGTCTCACCAGTTGTGTTGGTACAATTGTCCTGGGGGGTCTCGCTCTGTAACCCACCCCTTAGGGACCCTCCGGGCAGCCCCTGGGCACACAGCAGTCCTGGGAGTGCCCGCCCCGCTCACCGACCATGTAGATGGAGCAGCAGCTGGAAGCACACAGGCATTTGCCTGCTGGGCTTCAAAATCCAGCCCATTTCCACCTCCTGCGATGCCCCAGCATGAGGAGGAGCGGGTTGGATCTGCAGCCCCGCCACCCCAGGGGTCTGCTCCCCCCAGGAAAGGGCTGGGTCAGGTGGGAGGCATCCCCTTAACTTGGATCTCCTTCAAATTTCTCATAAGGGTGTTTTAGCCACTGTGAACTAAGACAACTTCACTTCTGAATGAGAGTGCCCACGGGTGTAATACGCTTTAATTAATATGCTTTAGCTTCCCTGTTTTAGATCATTAACCCTCCTTTGATTGAGTGCCCCCTTGCCATCCCAATGTTTCATCTCCTTTCTCTTGGGGATCTTATACAAAGAATAAAAGGATGCTGGTTGTTTTACACAACTCGTCTCCCAGCTTTTTAAATGCCCTTTAACAGTGGGTCTTTCCCCCTGTAGCTTGGCATAGGCCAGGGATGCTCCTTGACTTTGCTTCTAGTTGTCCTTGGAAATCCCCCTCTCTTCTGCCTCACAGTGACCCTTAAGGATGCTCTGATAGCTTAAAGTCTCCAGGAAGAGTTTGTGATCTCCTCCTGTTGTGGACCGAATCTGTGATTCAGCTACAACAAATATCCCATGGAATGGAAGGTGAGGGAGGTGGGAGTAAATATCCATGAAGCAAAGGGATCTAACAACATCTCTCTAGTTCTCCTCGGGGAATTTGAGCCCCCTTGCCTCCAAATGAAGGAGGAGCTTCACTGGGGCTTTATCCAGGCTGCAACTGGAAGTAAAATGTTGAAGCTTTTCCATCTGGGACCCAGATGGGATCAAAAAATCCTGGGGCCTTGCCTGCTTGACTGGAGATCTGTCTTGGTCCTGATCCTCCTACAGCTGCACTCAGATGATGTCCACTAAAGTCAGAAGGAGCTCTGTGTGCAGAAGAGCTGCCAGACCGGGCTGAGCTGGGCAGGAGATGAAAGCTGGCAGGCCGGATCCAGACCTGTAGCACAGGCAGTGTGGGAGGAACGCCTACCCGAAGCACCTCTTTGTGGGGGATGTCAAACAGGGGCAAGTATGTCCAAACCCTGCCAGCTGCTGCTACCACCCAAGAAGAAATGCCTGCTGATGGGATGTGTAGGCAGCTGGAGCTGGAAGGGGCCTGGAGAGGCTGGAAGGAGCCTGGTGGGAAGAGGGAGAGGGTCCATGAGCTGGGGAGAGCCCAGGCAGGGGGGAGGGATCCAGGGGATGGGGTTTCAGACCCCAAATCCCTCCCTCTTGCTCTCACCCTGTCCTCTTGCAATGCAACTTTTGCTTTTATATCAGTCTGAAAAAACATCACTTCTGCTACTATCCTGGCTAATGACATAGAGCACGATCCATTTATTTTCAACTCAAAAAACTATCTGGATTATGATCTTTTAAAATCCAGCTGCTAAATAGCCGCTGCAAGGCTGGTTTGATTGTTTGACCTAAAGCGCCACTTCGGTACTGCTGTTTTGCAGCAAGCTGACACACTGCAATGATAGACTGGAATCCCGTTTGAAGCATTATTTTTAAAATAAGACCCTTGTCGGAACTTTTGCCTTTGGCATAGGGAAAACTGCGCTGCCACAAAGCAACGGACTGATGCCCCTGGCTCCAGTTTGTAAAAATTTCTCCTTGATTTTGCTCAGTTGCATCATGCATTGCAAATGGGATTGCTGTTTTTGGCACTGATCAAAGCAGCGGATTTTGCTGGAGAAAACAACAGATGTGTCCAAACCGTAACTGCAGAGCAGGAAAAGGCCCCAAATAAGGTGCGTTTCTGAAATCCTGCTCCCCCTTCCACGTTTTTCAAATAACCTTCACCTTTCTGATTAGCTTTAAATCACCTACTGAATCACAGGCTGGGTGAAATTCGGATCTCTACCTTGCTTAATGGGGATACGGAGGTGTGGAAACGTGGGGTGACTGCGTTTTCCCCAGCTTCTTTCCTTCTCGGCCGGGGCTTCCCGGTTAGGCAGCGCCGAGCCCAACGCTCTTTGCAAACAGCGTGTGGGAAACCACCCACCGCTAAAATGCAAACACCTCTGAGGCACAGCGGGGTTACGCTGTGCAGCGGCTCGGCTCTGGGGCCCAAAGGCACCTCGGTGGTCACCTGCACGTTGGTCCTCACGTTTGGTGTCATTACGGAGGGGGTGGCATGCAAATCACGGCCGAGGTCAGCTGACAGCATTTTCCGAGGTATTTTCAGGATGAGCAGGGAGATTCCCAGTTCCCAGGGGGAACTCAGCTGGGATCGCTCCTCTGAACTTCCCTTTGCCCCGCGTCACACCGTGCATGGCTGTGGGCTTCAACGGGGCTGAACGAACGTGTCTAATTTGAACCCTAAGGTTTACAGACGATACCTCCCCTTACAGCTTTCCTAATGGAATTATTCACTACCTGTAATTATATGGCTAAAATAGTAAACATGGGTATTTCTGAGGACTGTAACTAGTAGTTAGAGGAATGGATGTCAGGGCTCCTGGCCTGCTCCTGACTCTCCCATGAACTTTCTGCGTGGCCACTCTTCACACAACTATCTCCGGACAGCTTCAGCACGTGCCTTTGCCTGCTCTGCCTCAGGACAAGGCATTCAACAAACGCTGCTCCTGGCCTGGCTGGGATGAGCTGTGATCACCCATGCAGGAAGCCAATCCTGAAACGTTCGGCAATAATAGGTGTTTGGGGCGAGCAGCAAAAAGCAAATTCCTAAAAGAGGAAGAAAGGAAGTTTGGAGTGGAAACCCCCAAATTGTTGTCTGGGGAGGTTTGACAACTGATCCCAAAATGTTCATGGAAGTAAAACCAAACAGCTGTTCTGTAAACAGCCCCTTACTAAAGGAAAAACCTCTGAACAAGAAAAACCCCTCGTCTTTCTGCAGTAACAGCCACACCCCTGATGTTTACAATACTGGAAAATGCTGCAGTTCATTTTAAAGACCTTCCTTTTACTCATAATTCAATTTTCTTATCACTTTACAGTTTCCCTGGCAGACACTCTCCCTGAACTGCCCACCTCGAAGCTGCCGAGTACACATCTAAACCCCCTTCCCTCCTGACCTGCTGCCTTGCAGTACAACGCCTGGTAGAGCAGCCAGCAGGGAAAGCGTCCCCCCAAGATCTCATTAGTGCCCTACACAGAACTTTTGCAGTAATTGAACGGGGCAGGCGGAGGTGATGGCACGGAGCTGGGCTTTGAAGAGCGACCCGCTCCTGCATAGCAAAGTGCAGAGAAGGGTTTGCTGGTTTAGCTAATCCACCTCCCCACGTCTGCCTCTGTGAACATTAGGCTCGCCAATCTGGCTGTGTAAAAAGAGGCCAGTGGCTTGAGGGTGGAATAAAACACAGCTTTGTAACACCAATAAATATACAAAATACTAAGAATGCTTTGTTGACCTGCATCTTTGCATCCACAGATGAACTGATTAACAGCAGCCCCAACTGAAGTCACCGTGAGTATCCCCGCTGTGGGCTCTCTCTTTGAAATGCCTGCTCCATGCTCACAGCCCTAAAATCACTTTTAAACGCTCGCAACCAGCCCGACTGGACAAGGGAAGGGAAGATGGGCTGGTGGAAAACTTCCAGGCTCACCCATGACAGAAAGCAAAACAGGCAGGGATATTTTCAGGCAAATAGAGTTCATCACGTCAACTTTTTTTGACTGGTGGCATTCATTCGTGTCTCTCCCTTTCCCTTGCTTGCAAAGCCCTGTGGGGTGAGGCCTGACTCCTACAGATGGGAGCATGTAACCATCCCTTGTTCGGCAGTGTTTGGAGGGCTGGCTGGAATTCACCATCTGTATATTTAGTTCTCTGCAGGGAGCTGGTCTTCCTGGCCCAGTCTTCTCTTTGAGGTAAATATCGAGCAATATCTCTTTAGTGTATCTTCTTCACATCTGGGCTCCCCTCTAAAATAATAAAAGAATGTAGGCTGGGAGGTCCCCAAGAGCAAGTTCAAATGGCCAAATGTCAGCTCAGAAGAAGAGATGGATAAATCTGAACTGCCAAAAAATGAACAGCACAGAAGAACTGCAGAGAACTGGGTGTTTATCAGCAGAGACAGAAACCAGTCACTGTAATGGGCCAGTCTTTCTCTGCTGCTTTTAAAAGCTACAGGTATCTTGAGAAAGTGCAAACATAGCTCCCTAATTCCCCTCCCTATAACTAACAGGTCAGTTAAGGACATCTCCTGGATCTCATTTAAAAGTGGGAGATGGTGTCGAGTGTTTGCAAATCTACACCTTCAGCCCTTTGAGAAACGGGTGTTTGAAGGATCCTATGGAAAAAGCGCTGTGAAACCCAACCACCTCTCCCAGGTCCCCTTCTGTCAATTCCTGACAGCAGTGGCCAGAAATACAACCCACCACAGGACACCTTTCCTGTGCTCTCAGTCATGAAACACTAAGTGACAGTGTCACCAACTGATTTAAAACTTTTTCCTGATTATCTGAGAGACATTTCTTCTTACTGGGGGGGGGGGGAAAAAAAAAAAAAAAGGCAACAACCAAACAACTTTAATCCAGCACCTCTACAGGTTTTTCCACAAATGAAACCGTGAGTTTTAGTGAAGGGGGAGCAGCTCCGAGGTGGCACTGGGAGTCCTCCCGAGTGTCCCCAGCTTGGGGCTGGGCTGGGCTGGAACTAGGGCTGGGGCTCAGGCTGGGACTAGGACTAGGACTGGGGCTGGGACTAGATCTAGGGTTGGGGCTGGGACTAGAACTGGGGCTAGGGCTAGGGCAAGGGCTGGGTTGGGACTGGGACTGGGAATAGGGCTAGGACTGAGGCTGGTACTGGGACTAGGACTGGAGCTGGAACGAGGACTAGGTGTGGGAGTAGGGCTGGGTCTGGGACTAGGACTAGGACTACGGCTGGGACTGGGACTCGGGCTAGGGCTGGGCTGGGCTGGGCTGGGTTGGGCTGGGCTGGGCTGGGCTGCGGCCCCACTGGGTGGTGCTGTTATCCCTGCGCCGTCTGCAAAAGTATCCAGTTTATAAAATAAATGCAATCCAACGCCGCCTTAAACCACATGACATAACAGCAGCTTGCGAGCTCCCATTAAAATCTCAATTTGGGGAAATTGATTCTACCTCTGAGCAATTGCGATGCAATTACTCCAACAGGCAGCAATCAAGAATCACATCAAAACAACACCAAACTTTCATCTCCTGCCTTGCAACCACCACCACAACAAAAAGCACCTGTCTTGCAAACACAGCCCGGTTTCCTTAAATGTATATAATATTTAGGAAGGGCAACGTGCAGGTCCGAAGAGTAGGAAGCAAGCCTCAGCAGGGGCTGCTCTAGCTGGTGCCTCTGAAAAGTCCTGCCTGGGGGCTGTATTCTGTCCACCCCCCCACCAACTCCCCCCCACACCCGCTCCTGGCTGAGGCTGTCGGCGATTTATGGACTCAGAGCATCAGGAGCAAAGTCCCCCCCGGCCACACATGCTCCAGCTGCCCATCCTCTCCCTGCGCACAGATGTGGCCATCCCTGCCCATGTCCCACATCTGTCCAGCTGTCACACACCTCATCCCACCCCCCCCCCCCCTCCTTCTTTCCCTCGGAGCTTGCAAACACCCCAGCGCTTTGCAACGACGGGAGTTAAGGGAAAGCTTTGTGTCTGCCCAAACGAAGCGCTCCGGTCTCGATAATCACGACCAGCCCCGCGATGAGCAACGGAAAGGGGAAAAGAGAGGGGAGGGTATTTTCAGTTCCCATCAGTGGTCTGCAAGGAATTACTCGACCGACTTAGCCCAGCGGGGTGCATTTTTAGTGGCAACCATCAGAAGGGAGGATAAATGAATAACCGCATGCACGCCAGGCTAGGAACAAGCCGGACAGAGGGAGCGAGCTGGGCAGAGAAAATGGGAAGGATCGAGGTTTCTTAAAAAACAGCTCGGGAGGGGGGGAGGCAGCCGGGGACCGGGAGCGACAGCCTCAACAGGTCCCGCGGAGGAAGGGCCATGCAGGGAGCCGGGGGCAGCATGCGGCCGGGGGGGCCCCGCGCAGCCCCCCGCCCCGCTTACCTTAGCGGCCGCATCAGCCTCTCCAGCCCGCCGCGGGGGTCGGTGCAGGGAGCGGCGGCTTTTTATGTTAATATATATATATATATATATTATTTTTTCTTTCCGGGAGGGGGGAAATAAAAAGGAAATGAAATCAAAGAAAACCAAATCAAATCAAATAATAGTAAACAAAACCGCCAAGGGTAGAAGTGGCGGGGGGCGGCGGGGGCGGCGGGTGGGGTGGGGGGCGGGGGGGGGGGGCGGGCGGGCGGGGGGGGGGGGGATGGCCAACCGCGGGGTGCAGCGGCCCCCCCTGCCCTGCGCAGGGCAGCCCCGGCGCGGTGCAGCGCGGCCTCGCTCAGCGGGACGCGGGGAGCCGCATCGCCCTCCCGGAGCATGTGAGAGGCTGCGGAGGAGATAGAGCCAGATAGAGACGTCCCCTCCCTCCTTCCCTCCCTCCCTCCTTCCCTCCCTCCCTCCTTCCCTCCCTCCTTTCCCTCCCTCCTTCCCTCCGCACACGCTGAGAAGCGTCGTGAGCTTGCAGCGGCGGAGGGAGGGCAGGCGCAGCCCCCCGGCCAGGAGAAAGGGGAGGGCGGGGGGTGTCCCCCCTGCTGCAAGCCTCCCCCCCCCCCCCCATACCACCCCATCTCCCTGTGCAGGCAGCCAGGGCTGGGGGGTGGGGAGGGGGGGTTGCAGGGTACAGACCTTCCCGGAGGGGTGGGGATGCTCCACCTGCAGCGGGAGGGTATGGAGGGGAAGCGGGGTTTGGGGTGGGGTGGGCGGGTGCACCCCCTCTCCAGCGACTGGGGCAGGTAGAAGTGCTGAGAGCATCTTTCCCCTGATGGAGGGTAGCAGCGAGGACTGGAGTTGGGACCGGGAAGAGGATCCAAGCAATGGGGAAGGGATGGAGACCCCAGGATACCCCAACAGCCCCTTAGCGTAAACCCCCCCCCCCCCCCCCCCCCCCAGCTGCCCCAGCACCCAGCACTGCCTGGAGCTGGGCAGTGTGGCAGCTCCCCACCACCACCACCCCAGCCTCCCCCACCATCGGGGTGATCACCCATGTCCCACAGAGGCCTGGGGGGGACAGATTCTGGCATGTGTGGGTACCAGGGTGCCTGGTTTTCTGCTGCTGGGATGGGAAAACTCTGGGTGCAAGGCTGTGCCAGCCAAAGTGTCAGACACACAATTAATTAATTACTGCAGCCCCAGAGCCACAAACACGCGAAATACGCTGTCGCCGTAGTGTGTGGATAATAGCAGCCCTTTGCAAAGTGTTTCTTTCTCCCTTTTTTTTTTTTTTTTCTCTTTCTTTTTTTCCAGTGCAAGAGACAACAATTGCTACGGCACACAGCAGCTCTCCGCTGCTTGATTAAGTCAGCAGTGAAGACAAAATGTGCCTGTACAGCTCAGGCTTAAGGAGGGATTTGAGTGTGTGTTAGGTACAAATTAGAAAATGGATGTGATTTAATCACAACAAATCTAAACAGCCCTGCTACGGAAACCCTGCCATCAAAGAGGTCTTTTTCTTAAATGTGGATACTATGGGCATATATAGTCCTGACAAAGGAACAACGTGTCTGTGGATGAACTGTTAAAGCCAGAACAGAGAAAAGACTGGGGAAAGTGTGATGTATACCAGATAAGTTATCAGCTATAGAAAGAACGGCTTCCTTCCGTAATAATTATTTGCAAATCGCTTCACAGTTCTGGATACTGTGGTGTCTGGATACCACAGAACAGACAGAGCTGCTTCTGTCAGGCCTGGGACGCTGCACAGACAGGAAACCAGGCACAAACCCTGCCTGAGAGAAGAAGGTAAACTGCTTGTTCAGAGCAGCCCAAGTGAATGCAGCAGACAAAGAGGAGGGGGGGAGAAGTGATGGCAAGCCCAGGCCTTCCTGCAGGTGTGCGCAGTGGGTCGGGCTCGAGTCCCGGGCTGTAAAATACCGTACGCTGGAGCGTTACTAATCTGAGCACTTGGGGACTGTGCCAGCACGGGCTGGGGGGCGGGGGGCATCGCCACCGCGAACACGTCAGCTTCGGTTGTGCTGTGGAAGCGCTTCCCTGGGAAGACAAAGCACAAGACAGAAGAAATGCTAATGCACAGGGCGCTGGGAGCGCCTCGGTAACAGCGGCAGAGCATCGCGGCGGCAGCAAATTGGTGCTGAGCCTGGTTCCTGGTGGGATCGGGGAGCCCCGGAGCAGGGAGGCTCCCAGCAAAGCACACCCGCACTCAGGGGAACCCTCAGAAGTCCCCGCTGGCCGCTTCCCCCCCGGCTCTTATCAGCACGCCGTTAATCTTTGGCGTCGCAGCAGGAGTTGGCACCTTGAGTTCCAGGTACAAGGTGCATGTCTTTGACCTTGCCATTTCCACCATAACCAGCCAGCAAGGTGTGGAGCAGAGGTGTAGGTGTAACGGCACCCTTCTGCAGGCACCCTTCTGCGTGAGCTTTGCCCCTGAGGTGAGAGCAACACCCAGCTATCAGGGCATTAATGTAGATGCAGCAGCTAGATAACTGTGGGTCGTGGGAGAAGGACTCGATGGAGAATGGACTATTGGCCTTTTAGATAGGCTTCAAGAGCTGTGGTGTAAATTTACTCCTGATGTGTAAAGTACAGCCAGGTGAAAATTAAATCCAGAATATTCAGATTTCCCTTTTCTTTGCTTGTCCTGGGAATCCTCAGTTTGGTGCCGGTGACCAGTTTTACTTACTTGTACTGAAGATGAATTTGCCCCTCTCCCTGCATAGGGACCTGCTTGGCCACAAAGCAAAACAAATAGTGCCAGTACACTTTCACCTTCTAGAAATGGTTAAGACAACACAACTGAGTAGGCCGTTAAAGGAGGAGCTTGGCCATGCGAGAAGGATGGTAGTGCAAGATCCATCAACAGCAGGCAGGTGGCTCTCCTGAAGAGCAGGAGGGTTCAGGTGACCTGAGGAATGTTGGTGGGTTGGGGCATGGGGCAGAGCTCACTCCCCAGCTCACTGAAGCTGATGGAAGTCATCTTCAAGGGTATGTGGGCATCACCGGGTTGAGATGCAGGGGCAACGGAGAGTATGAGACACATGAGCTTTTCATTTGCTGTTTTCATCCACGGACAAGAGTCTCCTCAATCTATTATTTTGAAGGCATTTTCCGTGCTTCAGCTATCTTCCTTGACCTCTGAAAGATCTGGCTGATCCTGATCTCAAGATGAAAGATTGCCACCTCACGGGTCGTGAACACCCATCTGTGAGATTAGGCTCTGAATTATTAATACAATCAATGACTACCTCTTTTCATCCTAGAAGAGGCACAAAGAAAAGCTATGGGGGCCCTGAAAGGGAGGGAGGGAGGATTCTTGAGCAAAGAGGGAGAAGTCACCACTGGAAACTGGTTTTCTCTGGGTGGAAATGCCTCCTGTGCCTGTTTTATTTTGGAGACAGGAACAATGGCACGATTCAGGAGGTAATGACCCAGCTACGTTGGTAGGGCTAATGGTGGCACTGAGAAACCCCCCCGTGGGGACCATGTGTCTGGGGAGGGACATCCATCCTTCCAGCTCCCTTTCTGTATTTAGTGCATCATGGGCTAAACCAAAACGGGATCCCCAAGAGCCTAAACTGCAGAGCTAAAGCATGTGGAACCGTGGAGGAGGGGAAGGGCTGAGGAGCAGAGAGATGTATTTATCCTTCTAGTGCCACAAAGCCACCGACAGCTCTGCCGTTACCCGCGCAAGGAGGCGAGACCTGACCCCCAGGCAAGTGACAGAGCCTGTGTTTTGTGGGGTGCATTTAGCTCTGTATGGGGTTTCTTCACCATGGGAGGACATGGATGTCTCCAGACTGGAGCTGGGCAGTGAACCAGCGTGGGAGGGACTGCAAGGCTGCGCATTTGCTGCCTGGAACGTGGTAGCCTTTCCTTTTCCCTCTCCCCTGTGAATGCTTCAGTGTGGAGGTGCTGCCAACATGTGCTCTTGGGTCTCTGTTCTGATCTTTACATTTTTCCTTGGCTTGGGCCTGATCTACCCATTTGGGACATTTCAGTGAAGTTGGTTCCTTTCTGCTCCTTTCCCTGTTGCATTTGGGAGGAAGGTACCACGGCCCCATCCCGATCAAGGACCAAGGAAAAGGCACAACTCCCCAGTTCTTAGCCCCAAGTGGGAAATGAAGCCAGCTGGAAACCAAAAATAAAATACTATCATCACTCCATTTTTCAAGAGGGTTTTTTTTAAAAAAAGCTATTGTACCAATAGAGCTATTCTTTCTGGGTAGATAATGCAAAGCATTGCTTGAGAGCTGGCCAAAATGTCTGAGAAATATTTTTTTCCTCATTTTCATTAAAGTTCATATCAACATTGCAAATAAGATAAGAAAAGAAGTGTACAGTTACAATTATGTAGTGCTTTGTGATCACAAACAGATTCTGTAATCCCTACTCAGGGGGTTTTAGAGCTGAATTTAGCTTATTTCAGAGCATAAAGATGAGCTCAGCCAAGACTGCTCTCCTACTCCGTATGATCCTCATCTGCGCTCTGGTCACACGAGAGACCTGCGGCAAGCCAGGCTGCACAGCCAAGCAAAATCTCACAGATGCATCAGCTGCCCTGGCTGGGGACCAAGCCTTCTTTTTTCCTATGCAGTCATTTATTAATATTCTTTTATCTATTACTTTTGAATTGAAACTTTCTTTAAGCATCAAAATTTGGTATTGGTTCAACTGCGGCCTGATCAGTAAATGCACAGCATGGCTACTGAGAAACACCAGAAGTCCTTTCTGTTGCGAGGTATCGCTAGAGAAAATATTTAAGCCTTGGTACAACAGAGAATCAGTGGCTGCAGCCAAGGAGTCCTCCTCATCATGGCTAAGAGTGAGCATTTATGGGTTCTGACCTGGTCAATGGTGTCCTCTCCTAAGTGAGGCCATGGCTCATGGGAAAGGCAGCATCCTGAGCAGATGGAAATATTCCTCCTCCCTTGTCTGTGCTTCTAAACCATCTGACCTCAAGGTATTTGCAGCAGGGTCGGGAGTAGTCCCTTGGGCTCAGCGTGGCCATCCTATGTTTTAATTCAGGCATGAGTTCAAATACCTGGCTGAGCGGGACCTTAGCGTAACATTTAAAGCAGAGCAACCCCTGTCAGTTATATGGACTCAACGGAGCGATGCAATCCGCAGGAAACATTAAATTCAGTGCCAGGCTTCACACAGATAAGGCTACAGAG